AAAAAAAAAAAAAAAAAGAAACAGAACTTTGCCAGCACCCCCAAAACCCTCCTTCCATTCTCTCAGTTACTACCTACCTCTTCATCCCCCACACCAAGAATAACCACTATCCTGACTTTTCACAAATAGATGTTTCAATAGTTTCTGTACTTTCTTTTTCTTTCTTTCATTTTTTTTGAGTTAGAATCTCATTCTGTCACTCAGGGTGAAGTGCAGTGGCACACTCACGGCCACCCCAGTGTCGACCTGCTGGGCTCCGGCGATCCTTCCGCCTCCGTCTTCCAAGTTGCTGGAACTACAGGCGTGCGCTACCATGCCTGGCTAATTTTTAAAAATTTATTGTAGAGACCAGGTTTTGCCAAGTTGCCTGGGCTGGTCTCGAACCTGCCGTCTCAGGCAATCCACTTGCCTTGGCCTCCCAAACTGCTGGGATTACAGGCTGAGCCACCGAACCTGGCCAGTTTCTGTACTTTCTGTATACATGGGATCATAGAATATATATTGTTTTATGTCTAGCTTCTTTTCTTCAACCTTGTGTTGGTGAGTTTCACACATATTGTTAGGATGAGATCTTGCATCCTTACTGCTGTGTAGTATTCCATTGTGAGAATATGTCACAGTTTCTTGATCAAATTCATCTATATTAATAACAGGAACTTGATAAGACATAATTCAAGCAGTAGGAGTGAAAAGTAATTTATTCTCTAGAATAAAATCTCCTGAATGTGAGTTTGCAATGCTTAGGTTGTAAGAAGAGCTAAAAATAGCTTGTGGTTGTTCCTAGATCCCTCTGCATTTCTGGGCACTTTTTTACCCAAAGAAAGCACTGGATCAGGCCCGAGAACTGGTCAACATGTTAGAGAAAGTAGCTGGCCCCATTGGCATGCGCATGAGCCCTCCTGCCTGGGTTGAACTAAAGGACGACCGAATAGAGACCTATGTCAGAACTGTTAAATCCATGTTGGGAGTTGAGGTAATAAACTCATTTAATTTGAGTAAATGTATAAGATGTCTGTTATAAAATGCTTGAATGCTTGATTTTCAGTTATCATGGTCTTCAGTCTACTGTTGGTGATGTCCAGGAAACTGTGTCTAATTTATGTGCATATAAAATACTGATTGAGAAAGTATTCTTTATAACCTTTGGTTAATTGTGCTCCTTTCATTCTATGTTGGCACTCTCATTCATTCTAGTCTTCTTTTTTTCTCACGTAACTTGCTGAGAGGAAAGCTGAGTTAGCTCTAGTTCGTTATCTGTAGAGCATGTTGTGCTCAGAAAGCAACTTCTTGGGCCACTTGCCATCTTGCATGACTTAATACTGAGCTGCCACAGTCTTGTCTGTCTTGAGAGTAAAATTGCTCTGGTGATGAAATTGGCAGATGGCCCATTAACTGGGTCCTGATGACTGATCAGGAACTCTGGAGCTAAGCAGCACTGACAACTCAGTTGTTCAGCCTTCCAGTTCTTATCTGATTGTAAACAAAATAGAACAAGATTAGGGAGAAGAAAAAGGCAAAGGAAAGGCTTTTGGAACTATTTAACCACTGAATTGAAGACTCTAGTCTTCACTTTTTCTGGTGAGAGCAATCCTGGAATTCAAATGCTTTAGTGTTATAGTATTCTCTCTTTTTTTGAGTTGAAATCTCACTCTGTTGCCCAGATTGGAGTGCAGTGGCACACTCAAGGCCACCGCAGCTTCGGTTTACTCAGGTGCTCTTTCTGCCTCAGCCTTCTAAGTAGCTGAACCTACAGGTATGTGCTACCATATCCAGGTAATTTTTTGAATTTTATTTTAGAGGTAAGATATTTCCAAGTTGCCCTGGCTGATCTCGAACCCCTAAACTCAGGCAGTCCTTTTGCCTCCGCCTCCCAAAGTGCTGGGATTACAGGTGTGAGCCACTGCGCCCAGCCACATTATCTTTTTGATCTACCACTCTTAGTATATCATTTACATTCATAGCAGCACACTTGTGTTCTCTCTTTGGTGTTTTCTCTCTTTCTTTTTTTTTCCTTTTTTGTTTTTAGAGACAGAGTCTGGCTCTGTCACCCATGCTGGAGTGCAGTGGTACAATCATAGCTCACTGTAACCTCAAACTCCTGACTCCATGCAATCCTCTTACATCTTCCTCCTGATTAAATAGGACTACATGTACCATGTCTGGATAATTTTTAAATTTTTTGTAGAGAGGGGATCTCGCTATGTTACCCAGGCTGGTCTTAAACTCCTGGGTTCAAGTTATCCTTCCAGCTTGCTCTTCCAAAGTGCTGGGATTACAGGTGTGAGCTACTGTACCCAACCTGTGGATTTTCTTTGTAATTCCTTCTGACATATCCCATGCCTATCATACTCTACCATGGGCTCTCTCACACCTGATGGTTGATGAGTTCTGCTCTATTTTTAAAAGAATAACCCAGCTCAGTACGTCAGCTCCTCTGTTTCACGACTTTTCATGTTCCCTTTATGAGACCAAACAGCCAACAGTCTTCATGTAGTATGGATGTGAGTTTCATTCATATTGTTTATATTATATTGGTCTTGTTATCTCTCTGTGATTTTTAGGGCACCCTGTTTTATTATCTTTGTGAAGGGTCACAAACTCATATGTCTCCAGTGTCTAGATAAGTAATGTATAAGGAGGGACCAAAAAGAAAAACCCAGAATTTATTTAGAAAAAAATTGTGTATTTATTTATTTATTTTTTTATTTTTTTTTTTTTGAGTTGGAGTCTCACTCTGTCACCCATACTGGAGTGCAGTGGTATGTTCCTGGCCACTGCAGCCTTAACCTTTTGGGCTCTGGCGATCCTTCCGTCTCAGTCTTCCATGTAGCTGGAACTACAGGCGCACGCTACCACGCCTGGCTAATTTTTAAATTTTTATTGTAGAGATGAGGTCTTGCCAAGTTGCCCAGGCGGGTCTCGAAC